AGCTCAAGGGCAAGGCCCAAGAGAAGGTATAAATAACCCTCACTCTCCACTCCATGTGTTCAGATGCCCAGGACCTCAAACCCATGTGGTCAACATCTGTAAGCATGTGATCACCCTTTTCTCTTCAGGAGCTCAAGTCATGTGATCCTGTCTACCATTAAACCATCTTTTCAAAGCCTCCATGATTCCAGTGTCTTTCTCCCCATTTGAAACTGAACCAGATGGATATTTCTTCCAACAATGGTAAAGCAGCCCAAGAAAGGAAGTCTATGATCACAGAATAGCATCAGAAACCAAAATTGCCGGAATCGATTGAATATAACAACTTAGAAGATGGACATGGTTGGATAGCATCCTGCATAAGCACTCTCTCGTTCATAACCTTTTAACCCCTTTCCCTCATTGAAGTCATATTATTGATTTAATTGCCTTAATATTGTCTTTACTGAATAGAAATGATGTCTTCCTGACTCATCTAAAATGTTTTAACAAGAAAAGCTGGGGTTTGAAAGAATGTGTGGCTGCCCCAATATTCTGCCAGCATTGATGTACCTGATGGAGCAATGAATGCACTGAAGACAAGGAGCAGCTGGTGTAATTTATGGTTAACAGCATTGACTGTAGAAGGCAGTTGTAGCAATGAGATGATACAAAAATGATTAAGTAGAGCAAGAGAGAGAAAATAAATTGGTAATTTGATGCAGTTCATGTTGCTGGGTACCACAAATAGGAATAGGTGGTCCCAAGTCAGCCTTTTGCCATTATAAAAGTCTGTAGTTCTCAGCCCACAATGAAATTCAAAGAGAAAAAATCCAGGAGCTTGTCTCTTTTAATACATTTAAATTGTCTCAGACCCTTAGATGTTGAGCATACAAATTGCTAGATCATCCTTTTCTTTCACAGGTTACACATCCTATATTTAGGAATGTATTTGCATCAAGGCAGAGAAGAATAGAAATTATTGTAACCCTTCCACCAACATTAAGATTTTTCAGTCTTTTATCTATTTATCCATCCTTCCTTCCTTCCATCCATTTTGTGTGTGTGTGTGTGTGTGTGTGTNCCGAGGGGGGTGAAATGAGGACCCGGTTTGTTGGGGGCAAGAGGCTGACTCTGTAAACCGCTTAGAGAGGGCTGAAAGCCCTAGGAAGCTGTATATAAGTCTAACTGCTATTGCTATTCTCGGAGGTCGCCCTGGCCAGCCTGACCGGCGGGGAGGGGACAAATCCCATCTGCTGTCGGGCAGGGAGGGGGGCTGTGACCTCCCTCGCTCATCTGCGCCGGCCGTGGGGGGGGGGAGAACGGACCCCGCCCACCGCTCCCCTCCCCCTCCTCCTCCTCCTCCTCCTTCTCGTCTTCAGCCAACCAACGGCCGCTCCGCCGCTCGCCCGCTCCCCAGGGCCGCCCGCGCCGGGTTCCGCGTCTCCGTGGAGACCAGCCAAGCGTTGGCCGCGATGGAGGCGGACAGGTGAGCTGGAGCCGCCTCCCCCACCGGCCCTGCTCGCCCGCGGCTTCTGGCTTCGGGAGCGGGGCGGGGGGCTCTCGGTGCCCTGGGCGTTTTCGGCAGGGCGGTGGGTGGCCGGAGCAGCTGAGGCCCCTTCCCGCCTCCCAGCGCCCCACCGACCGCCACCCGCCGCTCTCCCGTCTCTTCCCCTACCAGCCAGGAGGAGCCCCGCGGGATCCCGGCGGAGACGGCCCCCTGTCCTGCGGAGAGGCCGCCGGAGCCCGAGGCAGACCGGCAAGCCGCAGAGACGCACCCGGTGGAGCTGCCGCCCTGCCATGGCGTGCCCGGGCCGTACCTGGGGGAGCTGCCGGCCGCCGATCTGGAGCCGCCCCTGCCCTGCGTCCCGGAGGCGCCGAGGGAGCCGCCCGCCCGCGGCCAGTGTCTAATGCACAACTGGCAGGAAGAGGTCAGGGCGGCGCCCTCCGCATCCCCAGCGCAGCCCCTGCCTGGCCCGCGCGGGAGGAGCTTCCGAGGGACCCTTCCCCTCCTGCCCTGTAGAGCCAGCGGGGCAGGTGGGACCAAGCTGGGGGGAGGGGGGAGTTGGCCCTGTGTGTGTGTGTGTGGAGCATTCTTTGATTCCATGTTTGCTTCTCCCAGAGAGCCACCAATGATCTGGACCATGTGCCGAGACCCGAGTATGGCACCGAGGGCTTTTTCTACCGGCATGGGCATCCTGGCCTCCTTACCCTTGACTTCCTGGCCGGCATCCCCACGACCACCACGATGAAGGACTCCTATCCTCGCCCCGTGAAAACGGGGCTCCCTGTGCGAGGTGGGCAAGAGGACAGGAGGGGGCCAAGGATTGATTGATTGATTGATTGATTACATTTATATGCGGCCCTTTTCCCC